TTCAAAGCTCAGCTAAAGCACTATCCCCTAATTCAGACCTAGCCTGATCCCCCCCCCCAGGTACTAACGCACCTGTGCTGCCCCAGATTACTTGGTATTAGCTTTGTGTATATTCTGCATGCACTTTAATGTATACATAATGTTTTCCTCTGGTAGAATATAAGTTCCTTGAAGACAGTGATTACTTAATTTTTTTCTGTGTATCCCCAATACCCAATAGTGCCTGGATCAAAGTAGATGCTTAATAAATGTATGGTGATGAATTGATTCAAGGGCTTTATACCAATTGTTATTGAATCTTAATTAAAGGCGGGACTGAGAAATGAAAATATCTTACAATGTATTGTCAACTTCTATAAAGATGAGAATATATCTGAAAGACTTCCCCTTTCAGTAGCAAACGAAAAAAATGAGTATTGCTGGAGACCGAATTGATACCATTCTCTCATTTAAGTGAGAAGCACAACCAGCCAATCCTAGGAGGCGAAGATATGCTCCTGTTCTGGATGCTTGCATTTGTCCAGGTCTAATTTCCCTACTGACCACTAGTCTAAGATTTCCAACTGCCCATTGGACATTTTCAACTGGCTGTCTCACAGACATCTTAAATTCAGCATGTCCAAAACTGAATTCATTATCTTCTCCTCCCCCCGCCCACTCCTTAAACCTGACCCTCTTCCTAGCTTCCCCATTACTGTAGAGGGTGCTCCCTATCTTCCAGTCATTTGGGCTCAAAATGTAGGTGTCATCCTTGACTCCTCACTCTCTCAGCTCCATATCCAATCAGTTGCAAAATACTATTGTTTCTACCTTCACAACATCTCTTATATATATGCCCCTTTCTGTCCCTCATACCATCGCTATCCTGGTCCAGACCCTCACCACCTTGCTCCCAGATTATAACAATAGCCTTCTGGGTGGTCTCTCTGCCACATCTCTCCACACTCCAGTTCATCCTCCATCCGGTCTTCAAAGTGATCTTCACAAAATGCAAGTTTGACTATCACACACACACACACACACACACACATTGAGTCAACTCTGCTGGCTTTCTATGGCTTTCAATATTCCCCCTAATGCTAATTTCTGCCCTCTGTTGATTATTTCCAATTTATCTTATCTTGTACATACATAGGTGCCTGCATATTGTCTCAACCACCAGACTGTGGGCTCCTTGAAAGCAGGGACTGTCTACTATCTTTCTTCATATTCCCAGCATTTAGCACAGTGACTAGCACATAGTAGTGACTTAATAAATGCTAGTTGACTGACTAATTACGGGAAAAGGTTGTTACCATGTGGATAAACCCATAAAGTAGATGATGCCAAAATTATTTTCATTTAGCTCCATAATCCGCATGTTTTTAAGAAGAGTACTAATTTTCCTTCTTAATGATGCCTAATTCAGGCTAATATTAAAATAGGTTTGCTTGCCTGAGTTCATTCTTACTGACAGAGAGAGAAGAGGTCCCCAGAGGCTTGTTGGGGCAGGGGAAATCAGACTGGAGTTATACATATTACTATGTGTCCACAAGTTGGTTAATTTCTATGTGGATGGTCAAGTTAGTATTCTGTATGGTTATCTGTTTCCTAGTGCTCACATCATTTCAGACAAGAAAAAGAGATCCAATCAATCCCACAATGATAGGATTTAATATCCCACAGTATAGAATGAGTGATATCCTCTAGGGCAGGGGTTCTTAACCTGTTTTGTGTCAAGGTAAAGCCTATGGGTACCTCTGAGAATAATGTGTGTAAATGCATAACAGAAAATACATAGGATTACAAAGAAAACCAAAATTTTTTCTAAAGTTCATACAGAAGTTCATAGGAAAGAACATAGCTCTGGTCCTTAATGTTAATGCCTTCGCTCTGAGATCATCTCCAATTTATCCTGTTTATATCTTGCTTGTATGTGTTTGCATGCTTTCTCTCCCATTAGATTGTGAGCTCCTTGAGGGCAAAGACTGTTTTTGACTTTCTTTGTACCTCTTATACTTAGCCTGGTGCACAGTAGGTGCTTGTCAACTTGATCAAATAAATAGAAGAATCCCAAAGATGACACAAACATACAGTAAATCAAATTCATAGAGCTGGAAAGGACCTTAGAGGTCACTTAGTCGAACCCCCTTACTCTATAGAAAAGGAAACAGGTCCAGTGAGGCCTTTACAATGGTGTCCCCCTTACCTGGAATGTTCTCTCTTTTCACCTCCATCTTTTAGGATCCTAACCTGGCATGGCATTATAAGCGTGTAATCTCATCTACCAGGGAGGCTAAGACCAGGGAGGCTGGTGGATGCTTTCAGCTCAGGAGTTTTGAGCTATAGTAGGTCTAAAGCCAATCAAGTGTCTACATGAAGTCCAGCATTAATATAGTGAGCCCCTTGGGGGAGGGAAGAGGGGAGGAAGGGGCACCAGGATGCTTGAGGAAGAACAGGCCAGTTCAGGTTGGTAGTGGAACAAGTGAAAGCTTCTGTGATCGTCAGCAGTAGAATCTGGCCCATGAGTGACTGCTGAACTTCTCACCTATGCAAGACAGGGAGACCCAATCTCAAAAAAGACTTAGATCAAATGCCGCCTTCTACAGTGGGCCTTTCCCTGTCCTCCCAGCTGCTACTATACCTTCCCCTCTAAGATTAGTTTCCATCTATCGTGCATATATCTTGTATACACCTATTTATCTATATGTTCTCTCTCGCAATAGAATGTAAGCTCCTTGACGGCAGGGAATATTTTTGCTTTGTCTTCATATACCCTTTGCGTCTTGCACATAAGAGTAAGTGCTTTTTGTAGTAGCAGTAAGTGCGTAGTAAGTGCTTTTTGACCATTTATAGCTAGTAAATAGTACATACAGCCTAGGGTTCAAACTCACAAATGACAAGCAGCAGAGCTTCTTCTGCCTCCCAAGAGCCACCGTTCTTTCCACTGTATCACACTACGTAAGGTATCTTCTGGTTTTAACAACACACTATGTTCTGTGGATCAGGGAAGCAAGCTAAGATGGTCACTTTCTAGGGAACATAGGCTAAGAAGGAGGAGCTGGCTCATCTTTTGTTCCAGGCTTCTGATGTTCACATACATCTGGTTTTCCTACTGTTTATACCCAAGATCCTGAGAACAACTTCCTGTTCCTCATTCAGCTACCTTCTCTCCCTCCCTCCCAAGGCCATTCTCCATAACTTAACTCTCTCCAGGCAACTTTCTCTAAATAATAAGTACATGGATCAGCTGCTCCTACTTCGTACCCCACCAATCAAACAAACAAACCACCAACAACCAGCCTGAGACCTTTGAGTCCCTTGAAGCATGAGGGCAAAAGGAAGAGAAAAGCAAGTAAGATGTTGAAAGGAAAGACACAGCTATCCACATTGCTACCTGGAGAATCCTAGTTCCAAGAGCTATGACCCTTAGCTTTTCTAGAGTTGTGGGAAGGGAATAAGGATTTGTATGGCACCTACTATGTGCCAGGCACTGTGGCTAAGTGCTTTTACAAATATTATCTCATATGATCTTTACAACCACCCTGGAAGGTAGATGCTTTTATTATCCCCATTTTATGGGTCAGCTAGGTGGTGCAGTAGATAGAGCACCAGCCCTGGAGTCAGGAGGACCTGACTTCAAATCCAGCCTCAGACACTTAACACTAACTAGATGTGTGACCCTGGGCAAGTCACTTAACCCCATTGCCAAGCAAAAAAGGAAAGAAATATTATCCCCATTTTATAGTTGAGGAAACTGAGGCAGAGGTTGAATGACTTGCCTGGGTTCACACAACTAGTTAAGTGTTTAATGCTAGATTTGCACTCAGGTCCTCCTGACTTCAGGCCCAGTACTCTATCCACCACATTACCTAGCTGCTTATGGCCCTCTTTGATTTGTTCTTTGATATTTTATTCTTCTACACCTTCTGAATGGCACACATACATTAATTTCCACATCAGAGTGGATCAAAATTAGTTTTATTTTGGGAATGTAGGCAGAAGTTCACAGCTCAACCCTTGACATGCTAGGGTGGCACAGAGCCAGGCCTGGGAGTCATAGTACCAGAGGGAGGGACTTCTGTATGCTTTCTGCCCCATGCTTGGCATAGGGTGAGCCCTAAATGGATATTCACTGGTGGCCAAGGCTCTGGAAAAACAAGTCAACTAGACAGGAGGGCCCTCTTCTCTCATGTCCCTCCCTGGAAAGGGGCAGGTGAGGACATTAGTCCTGGCAGAAGTTATGGGTGGGGTCCTCAGACCTAACACATTCTGATCTCTTTGGAGTAGAGCTCCAAGCACAGTATCTGTCCTCTCCACACTCAAAAATGGTATCAGCATGGGGAGAGGTGGGTCTAGTTTCAGGGGCAAAACGGGGCAGATTCACAGAGTCTAGGATGATGCTCGCTAGAGGGGAGGATGGAGACCGGGGGCATCACTGAGCTCCTTGTGGTGGGAACGACTGAGCAAAGTTTTATGTTCACAAGGAATTAGTCCAAAGTCAGCAAAGTCTGACCCACATGAAAGGAGTTTGAGCCTTCCAACAGAAGAGCTATTGTCCTTCCACAGCTAGTCTGTAATAAGTCACCATCAGATTCTCCAGATCTCTCTCCAAAGATGCATTTTAGGGAACATTTGAGCATATTAAAATTTCAAATAGTTTTCTCTAGGTCTCATCTTGCTCTGAGGCCTTGGAAAGAAAGGCTAATGCTTTGTTGCAGGGTTTTTCCCTTAAACTTTCAGCCTCACCTCTGACAGCACTTTCTATTCTATCTTTGCAAGGGTCCTTATTTAAAGTCCACTTCTGATCTCCTCTTTCATATGTCTAGATACTTTCCCATTTCTAGGGCATCTCTGTCTCTGGTACAAAAATGCTTTCTTGATTAACCTCATTAAATTGTTCCATCTGGTTTCCCTGGGTGGAAACCCAGGGTGTAAGGTTCCAGGTTTGGGGGTGGGGACAGGAAAGGCAAAAAATGGATTTCTCTCTGGTAAGACTGTAAGGACAGGGTCTCACTTACCCAGCAGCAGATTCATTAGGACCTCTTGCCCTGCAAGAGTGCTGCTCTTCACCAGGCAGATAATGGTGCCCCCAATCCAAGGGATCCCATGCCCTGTGATCCCAATGAGTTTGACCATAGAGCGGGCACTGCCCCAGGAGGCAGCTCGGTTGGCACAGACACCCAGCCTCTTGGACATACAGATGTCAATAGCCAGCAAGGAGTTGAATGCAATTCCCTTGAAGGATGGGTTTAGCTGCATGCAGTCCTCTTCGGGCAGCTGCTGGGACTGCCTCCGCTCCTTGGACCCCTCATTCGGTGGCGGGGCCTGCACAGATGGGCCTGTCGTCTTCCTGCTTGAGCTCCTATTCTCCTGAGCCCCCTTTAAAGGCTGGTTCAGTGACAGGAATTCAGCCCTGTTCAGAACATTATTTCGGTCCCGTGCCCGGGACCTGCTTTGAGAGGCTGGCATGATGGCCTTGGATTGGCTCACAAAGAGAAAGGCCCTCTGCCCAAGATGAGCCAGGGACACCCCACTCAGATAGCTGCTCTCTCTCCCCCAAGCCAGGAGCTTCTATAAAGAACCACAATTCCTTCCTCTTGCAGACCTCTCCTGCACAAACCGCTGTAGTTAAATATAGAGTAGAGGAATGCACATGGCTGTTTACTTCATTGCTGCTACCAAGCTTGAAGGAAAAATTAATGTCAGCTTTGGTAGCCAATCCAGCTCTGAAAAGCAGGGATTATGTCCAATGGATGTGCAGAAGAGGAGGGTGATTCTCCCAGCTGAGTTCTGACGGCCTTGGGCTTGGGCTATTTAAATCTTCCAATTGCTTCCAGTCTTTTAAGGAACTCTGGGAAATGTAGTTTTTTAAAAAAATTTTTTGTTGCTGTTTCTTATGCCAATTGAAGTCTTTTTTTGCAGACCAGCCCTGATAGTGCTGTAAATCAGCATTTTCTTTGAGAGCTGAGAATTACAGGTAACCCAGGTTTATTCATGATCTCCTCAGCATACATTCAATAATCTAGTCCAGCCTCCTTGCCCGTTCTAAGGGGGCCGTCCCAGCCCCATATAATAGACAGTGGAGCTGACGCTAAGAGCTTCATGTCTGGCACTAGATGGAGTTAATGGGAGAGAAAGCATTACCACTCAGGTCTTCCTGGCCCCCAGCCCTGGCCTATGTCAATTCTGCCACACCCACCCTGACAGCAATTCATTAGACTGGCAGTCAATTTTTCCCCCTGGTATTAGATTTGGCTTCTGTACAACACAGCCCAATCTAATTGAAATTTGTAGGATTTGATTTCCATTAGAGAGAGGTGTGATAAAATGGTCTGGGTAATGGATCTACTCCCAGGAGATTCCTGCAAAAGCATCAGAACTTTGCAAAAGTGCAGGAGCCTGGCCGTCAGCTCGGTAATAGTCACCTGGGGATCCTGAATCTGCTTCTGGAGGAGGGTCCAACTCAGATCCATTCTTCCCTCTCCCCTCTGAGCCATGAAGTCAGAAGGGCTTAAAGTATTGTATTCTTTCACAACATTGTGGCTTTTGTCCCATTTTAGGGGTGACTGAAAGATGAAAGTTAGCTTGTTTGGGATGAGTGAAATGAGTAGCAAAGATTAATCAGGCCTCCTGGCTCAGGGTCCAGGAACCTAGCTGTTCAGTTGTCAGGGAGACAGCTGCCTTGATAGCTGGACAAGTTAAGGAAATCTTTTACCTACCAGCTTCTCCCAAATGCTGTCTATGACCTCCCAGGAACACCATCCACTATCCTTGGGAAGAAGGAAGAGAGAAGCATCATGTGGTGCTTTGAGGAGAGGAGAGGTGGCCTATTGCCATCTTCACCTCTGATACTCTTTGTGGCTTTGGAGTAAATTGCTTCTATTTGTGATCACCCCATCCAAACAGTAGAGAGGAAAATGATCCCTCCATCTTTTGATCATTCCAGCCCTGACTAATCTGGAGCTGTGAACAAGTCTTTAGTCACCTGCCAGGCCTGGTAATGAGAGGTGGAACAGAGCCAGGCCTGTAGGTATTTACATGCACATCTCTTCTTCCTCTCACTGGACACTGGAGTTTCAAATATACTTCAAACCATGCAAGAGATGGGCTTCCTGGTGATACAAACATGGATACTTATCTATCAATTTCCCCACTCTTCCCAGCTGATAACGATGGATAATGTGTAGCTAACCAGGCTTTCTCAGGTGCCAGAGATGCTCCTGGGCAGCCTTTTCTCAGGACTCGGCTGCAAAGTCCAGCTCTTCCATGGGGTGGCACCTCACCCCGCCCTCCTTAGCCACCCAGATGTAATCATAGCTACCAAGGACCATATGACCCTACTGGGTCTCAAGAGAAGACTGAGAAACCTAGTCCTTTTGGGCTGTTGCTATTAATATCCTGACAGCATGTGTCAGCATCTCAGGGATGACTGGATGCTGCTATAGACGGGGTGTGGGGACAACTGTTGTCTTGGGCTGGGGTGCAGACAGCCATCCCTGCCATGGTCTCACGGGGTGACTGACCTCAAGAAATGGGCTGCCCTGCATGCTGCTGAAAAAGTGGGAATGCTAATCTTGAGCTACTTCATTCTGGGCTGATTGCACAAATGTAATCAATCAATTGACTCTTTATTGAGTGCCCACTAGGTCCTAGGAACTGTGAGGGAGACAGAATGAGTTTGAGATATGGTCCCATTTTCCAAGAACTTGCAGACAGAACTCAAACTTGTCAGACAAAAATAGTAAATGACACAAGTTTGTATAAATAAGTGCTGAACAGTGTGGTACAGATTATTAGTGCTAAGTAGGATCAACTTATCAGAGGCAGAAGGGTACAGTATACAGTGGGGTATAAGAGTACAGTGAAAAAAGCTTTGGATATGTCAGAGGAACTGAGGTTGCCACTTACCACCTGTGCTATTTGGGCAAGTTACTCAACCTCTCTGGGCCTTACTTAGTTTCCCTCGTCTGCAAAACAAAGTGCCAGACTAAATAAGCTCTAAATCTATAAGCTAAGATTGTTCTCTCAGATCCATATGAATAAATCACCATAACGACTCACATTTACCTAGTAGTTTAGGGGTTACAAAGTGTTTTCTTCACAAAAATCCAATGAGGTAGAAAGTGTAAATGTTATATTTTCCATTTTATAGATGAGAAAACTGAGGGTGAAAAAAGTGAAGAGACTTGTGGCCACAAAGATAATAAGTATTGGCACCCTGAGACCAGATAGGATCAGCAAAATCTTATCTTGAAATTCTTGAATTCAGTCATGTCTGATTCTTCATGACCACATTTGGGGTTCTCTTAGCAAGGGTACTGGAACGGTCTGCCATGTCCTTCTTCAGCTCACTTTACAGATGAGGAAACTGAGGCAAACAGGGTTAAGTGACTTGCTTAGGGTCACACAGATAGTAAATGTCTGAGCCCAGATTTGAACTCAGGAGGATGTCTTCTTGACTCTAGGCCAAGCACTCTATCCACTGTGCCACCTAGCTACAATTCTTAGACACTGGGTGGGTGGGTGGGGGAACAACCCACCACCAACAAAACCTAACAGAATCATAGAATGTTAGAGATGAAAAGGAACTTGCCAAACTTTGGTAATGGGTACCACAGAAATGAAAGAAAAGGTAGGGAGAGGAGCAGCGATGATGAGCTAGTGCTGAATTCTAGTTTCATTCAATTGCAGTTCATAGGCTGAATTGAAAATAAATCACCAAGGGAGACAAATGCAGTTTATGGGAAAAGGAAGGGAAAGGAGAGAGACTTAGTTTGCCTTCAATCCAGGGTGGAAGCCATACAACTGCGCCGCAAACAAACAAAAATGAAAAAGGAATCTCTATTAAAGTATTATTATTAACCATCTTCCCTTATCCCAGTCCCTTCCCATCAGGGTGTTGTTTTTTCAGTTCAGATTTCTAAGGCTGCTGCTATTGGTTTATTTCAGTCGAGAAATCTGATCCTTGCCTAGGTTTATTTTAGCACCTTGGAGAACTCCCAGTGCTGCCACGGACCTTTGGATCTGGGCATGCCTTCTCTCTCTCTCTCTCTCTCTCTCTCTCTCTCTCTCTCTCTCTCTCTCTCTCTCTCTCTCTCTCTGTGAGTGTGTGTGTGTGTGTGTCTCTTCCTCTCTCTCTGTCTGTCTCTGTCTCTGTCTGTGTCTCTGTCTCTCTCTGTCTCTCTGCCTCTCTCTGTCTTCCTCTCTCTTTTTCTGTCTCTTTCTGTCTCTTCCTCTCTCTCTGTCTCTGTCTGTCTCTCTGTCTCTGTCTGTCTGTCTGTCTCTCTTCCCCTCTGTTTCTCCCTCTTTCTCTCCCATAAGGGATGGCCAGCTTCCTTCTATTTCCTTTTCCTAATGTGGGTGGGGAGGGAGATCATGATTCTTAGCAGAATGCTACCAAGACTGCAGAACCCGTCCGTCCCTTGGCACAGCTCCAAAAAACTCTGGGAACACCAGCAGCCTTCCTCCTTCTTGCCTGCACCAAGATCACTGCCCAGGCATCAGTAGAACTGACAGGAAGCAGCAAGACATTTGCATCCAACCCTCTTTCCATTGTAGAGATAGCTGTTTCCTGCTGCTGATTTGAATTTGAGATGAGGAAGAAGGGGGGGGGGCGGGGAGTACGCGAACTATCACCTTACAGTGACAAGAGTCCAGAAATCAAATTCAAGAGATTTAGCTCCATCTCTGACTTGCTGCATTGACCTTGTGTATTTGTGCCTCAGTTTCCCCATATATGAAATGAGTTCAAAACTATCTGTTCTAACAACTTCACATGGCTGTTATGTAACTCAAAAGAGATTATATGTGTGAAAAATACTTTACAAAAGTATAAGGAGTCTTGGTCTTAATATAAGACATTATTGTGAAATAAGGCCACAGTTTCTTTTTCTATGAAATGAGGAGATTGAATTAGGTGACTTTTAAATTCCTTCCAGCTCTAAAGCTCTGTGACCTCAGAGGTGGCTGGTAGAGCAGCAGACAGAGCGCTGGACTTGGAATAGGAAAGCCTAAATTCAAATTTGGCTTCAGACATTTGCTAGCTGTGTGACCTGGGCAAGTTGCTTAACCTCTGTTTGCCTGTTTCCTCAACTATAAAATAGGAGATAATAACAGCCCCTATCTCACAGGGTTGTTGTGAAGATCAAATGAGATAATACTTATAAAAGTGCGTGGCACAGTGCCTGACACATAGTAGGTACTATAAAAATGCTTTTTCCTTACCCCCTCTCCTCTTAGGAAGCTGAGGGAAAGAAGAACACAGGCTACTCTCAGTTAGAACAACCCTGAGCCTTCCACATATACCCAAAATCATCTCCATTCTGCATTCACAAACAAAGAAATAGAGATTGGGCCTATGATTTCATTAGCGTAGAGATCCCTCAGTAAAGAAATTCTCTCTATCAATGCACATTGGCACCTTTTGCTGCAATTTCTAGTCTTAGAGAGCTGCCTAGTGCATTGAGAAATTAAGTGACTTGCCTAGGATCACACAGTCAGTATATGTCAGAAGTAGGACCTGAATTCAGGTCTTTCTGACTTTGGGGTTAATTCTTCTATCCTCTATGCCATGCTATCTCTCTCTCTCTCTCTCTCTCTCTCTCTCTCTCTCTCTCTCTCTCTCTCTCTCTCTCTCTCTCTCTCTCTCTCCTCCATTCTCTCTAGTTCTCTCTTTCTCCTTCTGTCTCTCCTCTTTGCCCTTTCCTCCCTTTCTTCTTTCCTCCCTCTTTCTCTCTATTTCTCTGCCTCCCTCCTCCCCTCCCCCATTTCTGTGTCTGTCTCTCTCTGTGTCTCTGTGTCTCTCTCCCCTTTCCCTCCCTTCTCTCTGTCCCTTTCTCCCTTCTTCCTCCCTCCCCCTCTCTCCTTTTCTCTCTCCTTCTGGTAGAGGTAAAGTACGATAAGTATTCAGAGACAGTCCCACACATGTGAATCACATTTACACTACCACCCTCAACTCTTCCCTCTTCCCCTCACTCTACCTTTCCTCACCATACTCAGGATCCTCCTATGAAGTCACCTCTTTCCTTCCTATCCCCTACAACAATTTCCCCATTATCCAAAGATGTGAGGACAGTCTATAATTTTCTATTGGCTTCCCCTCTGGTCAGTAACTGGAGAGGGCAACAGGGCTATAAACAGAGCTCTGTCTCCTATGGCAACAGCATTTCAGCTTTTAACTTTTCATCTGGAAAAAAATTAATTGTCTCCTTTCTCTGTCCTTTAATAAAAAAAAATTCATGGCTCATAATAACCCTGTCTGTTGAAGTGGGCATTCTGTCTTTGGGGAAGGACTTAGTGGGTCATAGCAGATGCATAGTTCTTGCATATTCCCCCATCTAGAACTAAGGCTTCCCTCCAGGTTGGTCAGTAGGACTGATTTAGCATCAGGTTGAAGTGATCTCCTCAGATACCTGGAAGTAATTTCATGAAACCAAAAAGTCTCAATGACTACCTTAGCCCTACAGCCTTACTCCATATGTCCAAGAAAGGTTTTGCTAGGACCTTTAAGGTATCTCGAAAGGCTTTGCAGAGACTGGGGCTTTGAAGAGAGTACCTTATTACTTTAACAGATTTATTTCATAAGAATAGGTACCCTTAGCCACTTCTGCACATTAAATCACAAGCTCTCCCTATTTCTCCTCATTTTGCATGGTGTTAAAAAAAATAAAATTCCTTTTTTGTTATTATGTACTTGAAAAGTATAAACATACATAAATGTTTCCCTATACAAAGAACAGAAAAAAGAAGCCCTCATATAAAAACCTCAACTCTCTGGGACTCTTGTTCACATCTTTTCATCAATCCTCATAGAAGATCCACGCAATGAACTGAAGGACTTTCTTTGGTTCTTTTAACATTTAAGGGATCCCCGGTGCAACACTTGGACTGTCCATCTTGTTATCCTTACTCTTAAAATAAAAAGGTGTGGATTGCTATCTTTTGTTTCAAATTTGCCTTTATTTTCAGATTTAGATATTTCTCTGCCTCTCCTTCACAGTCACTCATTGTAACAAAGAATTAAGCAGAGTAAAATAGTTTGGTAAAGTTAACCAGCATATCAACCAAGCCTGACAGCACAGCCGATGTTCCACCTATAGTCCTCACCCCTGCAAACAAAGGAGAAAGATGGATTTTCTCCTCCCTTCCTGGGGGTCAAGTTGAACATTATAATTACATAACTTTGAGTTTTTCTTTCCTTCCTTTCTTTTTCTTCCTTCCTTCCTTCCTTCCTTTCTTTTCTTTCTTTCTTTCTTTTTACATTGTTGTAGTCATCATGTAGATTGCTTTCCTGTTTCTGCTTACTTGACTTCACATCAGTTTGTGGAAGACTTCCCATGCTTCTCTATTATTATCCCTTACTCATGCTAGGTGAATGAACCACCTCCTTTCTTGTTCTTCCTTTAAGGGTCTTTCACACAGATTCCTGTGTGCATGTGACTTGTTAGTATACAGCAGGCTGCTTACACCTGCCATTCACCTGCTCTTTGGGTCACCTGCAATTGGGATTCTTCTGAGATCATGGTGTTCCATGATGTGCAGTCTTGTAGCATCACTGGGAGATTCCTGGGGTTCAGAAGATGGCCTTTCACCACAATGAAAAGCCTAGGGTTGCTGAAATCACAACATAGTTTCTCAAATCTGATCCAACTCACTTTCTTTCTGCTATTCAATTCTGGACCCAGCTCATTTGCCTGCCTTCAGGGATTATTCAGGTTATAGAGCAGCTGGTTGGCTCAGTTGATAAGATTACCACTCCTGGAGTCAGGAAGATCTGAATTTATATCTGGCCTCAGACACCTACTGGCTGTGTGACCCTGGGCAAGTCACTTAACCCTGTTTGCCTCATCTGTAAAATGGGGATAATAATGGCACCTACCTCCCAGGGTTGTTGTGAGAATCAAATGAGATAATAATTGTAAAGTGCTTTGCATAGTTGCCTGGCATATAATAAGCATTATGTAAATTATAACTATTATTATTATGTTTGTATATTATATATAATATATTATATAATCATAGTATTATATATGATAATATATGATATTTAAACTGAAGCTTAAATACTTTGGCCACATAATAAGAAAATGGGACTCACTGGAAAAGATCTTGATGTTGGGAAAGATTCAAGTCAAAAGGAAAAGAGGATGGCAGAGGCAGAGTATGGGATAGATACATGAACTTGGACAGACTTTGAGAGACAGCGAAAGGTAGAAGGGCCTGGTGTGCTATGGTTCATGGGGTCATGAAGAGTGAGACATGACTGAACAACAAATTATTATGACTGATGAACTGAGCAGGCTGCTTTATAATCTGTGCAACATGTATTCTTCATCCACTTTACTTTTTCTGTGTGGATGGCTAAGTTGATCTCTTTTGAATGACTATAGATCTTATTAAAGAGGCCTGTCTTGTTCCAGGATTCAACGCACTTAGCCCAAAGTCATCTTCAAATAGCAGCACTGTAGAACTTCTCCATCAATAGAGAATCCTTCTTCTTTTTGCACTTAGCACAGAACATCTTCTGTGGTCATGGATATCTTTGTTAAACATGTGGATACCCCTCTGTTTGATGCCTTGTTTGAAATCTATTGTTACTAGGCCACTGAATGTTACTGGGCTTGGAATCAGGAAGACCTGGCTTTAAATTCCACCTCAGACATTCACTTACATGACTAGTTAGGCAAGTCACTTAAACTTTCTAAGCCTCAGTTTCCTCATCTGTAAAACAGGGTAGCAGTACCTATGTTCATGGGGTTGTTTTAAGGCTTGAATGAACTAATATACATAAAGCACTTAGGCAAAGCTTATTAGTGCTATAAAAATGTCCAATATTATTATAGTCTTTAAGATGACATTTTTCAAAAAAAAAGTCAATTTTTTAAACCAACAATCAATCAACAGAATGAGATTGTGTTTTTTGTACCTCTAAGTCAGTTTTGGGACTGTGAAGATGTGGCTTGCTGTAGAAAATCATGTTTGCTGGTCCCTTTCTCATATTTTCATTAAGAAGACCCTCTGCTTTTATGTACTAGTCTCTTAACAGGAAAGAAACCATGATACTTGCTAATGCTTTCTTTATTGCTTTTTTTTCTTGGTAGGGGGAGACGATACACCTTTAAGAAGAAAGATTTTTGAACGTGGTTCTGGTAATAGACCCCAACAGCTGTTTAAGGACTAGGGTTAAGGAAGCACGCAAAGGTTGGTACAAAGGGATGGATTTTTAAATTTCACTCCTCCTTGAAATAGATGAAAGAATGGGTACTACCAAAAACCACAGCTTGGGGACCTGAACATGTGGGTTCTAGGCTTGTTCTACCATGTTTTGGCTTGTCTTGTGACTTTGAGCTGGTCTCAAGTTCTCTGGGTCTAGAGTGTCTTTAGGTTGGTAAGTGTAGATGCCATCTTCTCCTTCTCCACAGTAAGATGTGATGTGCTTCATAGGAAGCAGCTTTTGGCTTGAAGTCATTCACCCAAGTCTCTGATGTGGACTCTTCTGTGCTGCGTCTGCCCCATGTGACTCACAGTTCTTTCTACATTCTTTCCTGTAGGCTGGTGACTACTTTATTAGAAAGCTCTTGTAGGAGTCTGAAAGGGTCCCAGTTTCTGGATCCTGAGAGACTGAAGACTGTGGTGTGGGAGTGTGATGCTGCTTGTGTGGAATGTCTGGGAAGGGTGGAGACCAGAGATGGAACTCTGAAGCTGTTCAAACATTGCTATGGGTTTAGCATGTCACTGAGAGAAGTTCACACAGATGTCCTCCTTCCTCTTACTCTCAAAGCAGCGGGTAATTCACACTTAGCATGAAATTGCAACTGCGGTTTACGCATATGCTCAAGACAACGCCTGCTACATGCCCAACGCCCACGGAACTACAGAGAACTCTGTGTGCTGAAGGATGGGGGAAGACTGGTAGGGCCCACACTGAGCATGCTCAGGAACTGGTAGAAACCTCCCCCCACCAACACACACACACAAAGGATAATTGGGCATTTGCCTAGTGGTCTGGGGATCTACACTGTCTGCACCTTTGTGGCCAGAGAAAAGAAACAGGAGCAACCTGCACCCCTGGAAACTGCTTAGGATTTTGGCATTAGGAGATTTTTGGTGGGCTTTCTAAAAAGCCTTTTCCACTCTGTTTGGTAAAAGCAGCTTTGAAAAACAAATCTTTGTCACTTACCTGGTATATTCTAGGACTCATCCTGAGTGCGTGGGTGGTGGGCCATTTGTAAAGTTCCTAAGAGCCATATTAGAAAAATCAAGGGGATCTGGACCCAGAGCTGAGAGGCAGAAATTGTTATAGAATGTCAGATACAGAAAGAGACCATTCTTAGTGTCACTCAGTCCAATCCCCTCCTTTTACAAGGTCAGGATAGAAAGCAGCAAGTATTTATTAAGTACTTGCTATGTGCCAACCACTGTGCTAAACACTTCCCAAATATTGACAACCACCACCACCGCCCTAGAGGTAGGTACTATTATTATCCTTATTTTACAGTTGAGTTGAGGCAAAGACAGGCTATCTGACTTGCCTGGGGTCACATAGTTAGTGTCTGAGGTTGGATTTGAATTCAGGTCTCTCCTGAAACCAGGCCCTATCTCTATCCACTGTGCTACCTAGCTGACTCTGGAAGCGTTTTGCCTATAGTCTGGATATACCCTTCCCCAACATAAGACACACACACACACACACACACACACACACACACACACACACACACACACACACACACGAGTTTCACCTGGGTAGATTGTAGGCTCATCAAGGGAAAGGGCTATTTCACTTTTGCCTTTTTATTCCCAGTGTCAGTTACAGTGCCTGCCATATGGCAAGTACTTAATAAATCCTTGCTGTTTGCTTACTTGCATATGGTCATATAGACAGTGAATTTCAGAGGTAAGATTCCAATTCAGATATTTATGATTCCAATTCCAGGACAATTCACTGGGTCAGGCTGCAATCTCAAAAGGAGAATCTATTAATTAAACATTAGATGCTAAATTTTTAGGTGAAGGCTCTGGCTCTGGCCCAGTAGGCTAAATCTCACACACACACACACACACACATTCCCCTTCACTTTATTTTAAAATTAACATGCATTCATTTTCTCTTCTTTTACTTCCCAATTAAGAAAAATCCTTCTAACAAATACATATTGTCAAGCAAAACAAATTTCTAAATTGTCCATATCCAAAATCATGTCCCATTTTTCAATTTCAATCCATCATCTATCAAGAAACAGATAGTGAAGTGTATCAGTCCTCTATCCTTTGGTCAGGTTCTTAAGTTTATCAAAATTGTTTGTCTTTACAATGTTGTTATTGTATAAATTGTTCTTCTGGTTTTACCCACTTCATTCTTCACCATTTATATGTCGTCCTAAGTTTCTCTAAATCCATTCATGTTGTCATTTCTTATGGTAGAAGAGTATTCCTTTACACTAATATGCCATAATTTGTTCAGCCATTCCCCAGTTGAAAGGGATTCCTTGGTTTCCAGTCATTTGACATCACAAAAAGGAGTGCTGTAAATATTTTTGAACATACTGGTATTTTTCCTTTATATTTGATCTCTTTGGTGATAAGCCTCAGAGTGTTATTGCTAGGTCAAAGGGTATGCACAATTTAGTGATTTGGGGGGCATACATTCAGAATTTTAACATGATCCTGAGAAGATCATGGATACATTCATTCATTCCACAAATATTCACTGAGTAACTACTATGTGCAAGGCATGCTTGACAGGATACAAAGAAAACTGCGACACTATCCCTATCCTCCAGAAGCTTGAGTTAAAAAGTTAAAGTACACAAGAATTCAGTAACATTACAAGAGATAACACAAGGCAGAACATGGTCAAGGACTCAATCAGCGGTACGGACAGTAAATGCTTATGGGTGGGAGGGATAACTGGGGCCCTTAGTGCTAAAAATTGGTGCCTAATGGGTAAGAAAGCAACTGAGGCAGTCCAACTTTCTGGTTCTACCACAGAGATTTAAAAGGGATAGATACCCCTTTTCAATCACATCATTTTGAGATTTTACCCACTGGGAGCCAAAGTACTAGTACCCTATTTCTAAATCTAACTTCGAAATCTTGTATCATCTCACTTTCTTATTTTTATTTGTTTTTTGGTTAATTGTCTTCTATCAGGAAAATATGGTTAGGATAAGCAACCCATTTGAACGAGTTAGCCACAATGTATGTTCACAGGATTACAAAGGGGAATCCCATTCCTAAGGTTTGCCAATGGTGTTGATCACAGGAGATGTGCTTCAATAAACATTGGGGATGATGATGATGGTTGGTGGGGCGAGTAGGGGAGCAATATTTAAGACATTTCTCTGTGGTTTTAAAGGAGGCTGGTTTGAGATTAGTCAGTCTATAAATAAACCTAGTTCTGAAAGAGTAGAAGACAGTGATTCCAGCAACCACTCCTCCTCACTTCTAGAATCAGAGAACATAGAATGTTAGGAATGGAAGGAAACTTCAAGATAATCCAAATTCAGTCCCTTCATATGCTCACAGAGGGGAAATAACTAGCTCAAGGTCACACATGCTTACTCAAGCTCCCCTTTCCCCCTCCAAAAACATCGAAACCATATTTGCCTTTTGCTTCGTTCCTTACTATGAAATGACCTGCCCCACTCACTGCAATGCGTGTAATCAGACTGGAGAGACCAGAGCGGTTCCTACCACAGGAAACGGCCCCTAGGCTATAATTACATCGCCTCATTCTGGTGACATCACAAACCACCTGGGCTTTGCCGGCGGTTCATTGTGCTATCACCAGGGCTGCTGAGATGAAACTCAGATGAAACTGTGGGAAATCCACAGTTAGCCTTAGCTGCATACACCCTTTTTTCTCCAGGCTCCTGAAACTGAGTTAGACTCACTCTCCACCAATATTCATAATGTGGGCATAACTCTTAGATTAGAGCGGGAGGCAAAAAAGCCGCTGGGGTGCGAAAAAAAAAAGTCTTCCACTCTCAGTAGGTTTTTAGGTTGAAAAGTGTGCCTTCAAAGACATCGATCTGTCTCCAGACTTTCCCTTCAGGGACACTATACTACTGTTGTACCAGTCTCAGTAACCAAAGGTTCTTTCCCTCTTATTTTTATTCCCAGCTTAAAGAAGGCCCTCTTCTTGGTCATGCGGATACAGTGTGCTGTTTGCCTTGAGAGATCCTTCCCCATCCCAACATACAGCCCAACAAGACAGACCCGGCGAACCAGAGATGTTGTCACGTGTGCTCTCATTACCCCCACCCTACCCCCTACCCCTCATCCCGCTCCCTGTTAAAGGTATTCTCAGGACCCGAGAAGATAAGATGTAAGAAACCCACAGCTCTGAAAAGAAACACTTCTCTCCTTCAGATGGCAAGGGCGGTGGGAGAGAAGCCCACCACCCTTCTCCCCCCTGCCCCCCCAAATCAAACAAACTACACTACCCAGAATTCCTGGAGTTGGTGAAAAGGAAATGTCGTTTTTTAGCAGGAGAGGTTTAGCTCTATCAGCTGCAGCTCGAGAGAGGGAGAAAGAGGGAGAGGGAGAATTATAAGGGGGGTGGGAAGAGAGGTAGGGAGCCCGGAATGCAGCAATTGGGTTGGGGCTGGCTACAGAGGCGGTCATAGGGAGAGCTGCCTATCCGGAGAGCCTGCAGGAACAGCTGGGCTGCGGGAGAATGCCAGGGCCAGACGGGCGCTGGGGGGATGAGTTTCTGCAAAGTTTGACCTGGTTGTCTTTCGGATGCCGCAGCAGAAACTGAGGCAGGCAAGGGGGCTTCCCTGAGCTGGAAGGCGGCGACAGCGGCCGCGAAGCTGACAGCACATACTTTACACAATGATTATAAAATAAACAAGGAGACTCGGGGGGTGGGGGAAAATCAAGCCAAATTAACACCCCCGCCGCCCCCAACCGAGCCCACCCCGAGAAGCATCCCGCAAGCTCTAGAGGCAGGACTCCTCAAGCTTCGCTGCCCCACGTTTGTCTTGCAAGAGGACCCTGACCCTACGGCCAGTGTCCGAGCCCAGCTTGGGGCGGGGGGTTGGGGGGGGAGAGTGGTTGTGGTGGCACGGGCGGGCAAATGCCATGAACGAGGAGCAGTTCGCCCGCCCGCTGCAGGGGGAAGGGGCATCGGAAGGCAAAAAAGCCGCTGGGGTGCGAAAATTTGGAACCGGCTAGAAGGGGCAGGTGAGTTGGAGGCGATTCTTCGGTGGCTGTGTGTGCGCCCAAGTTCCCCCAGTAGAGGCTAAGCCGGAGGCAAACGGGCACACAAATAGGACAGTGAACCTGAGCCCGCAGGAGTTGGGGCGGAGGGGGGGTGTTGAGTGGAGGGTGAGCCAACGAGAATAAAAACCGAGCGTGGGGCAATCTATGCCGGGCGCCCTCTTCCTGCGCCCGGGTGGAGGCCGGCAGAGGAGATCCCCTACGGATGAACCGTGGACCGGGCTGCTAAAGACGAAGAAGAGGCGGAGGAAGGAGGAGCCGCCGGTGAAGGCTAGATCTCAGCCTGCCAGCCAGCGAGCGCCAGGGCCGGTGGGGGGAAGTGACACGCTGCCGACTGCAGCAGTGTCAGCTTGAGCCGCGAGCGCCCTGGCCCCGGGGGAGGACCACCCAGGAGGGCTGAGGACCCTCGGGGCTCCGGGAGGCAGCGAACTGGACCGCAGCGCCTGCTTCCCCGCCCCCTCCCCAGGCCAGGTGGGTGTCAGCAAAGATGTCACGGCTGGCGATTATTCGCTGGTGTCCGAGAGCCCAAGGCTGATTTTGACTGGGTGGGGGTAGGGGTGGGAGTAGGGGGAGGGGGGAGTGGAGGGGGGAGGGGGTTGGTGAACGGTGAAATTGACCAAAGCTGCAGTTTCAGCTCAGCAGCCAGGGAACCAGCGGAGCCGCTCAACACCCCCCTGACGCCCCCAACACACATTGCCTACCTACGCTCCCTCCCCACCCCCACCCGAAAGTTCAGCCCAACTTCAAGAAAGGCCTTTAAGCCTTATCCCTCCCTTCATCTCAGCCAGGTCCTCGCACCAGCGAACAAGGGGACGAAGCGAGACACCCGAGTAGGACAGCGGCTGAGAGCCACGGGAGACGAGACGGGGAGAGTCAGATCACTGAGGGAGGAGGAGTGTTGCCTGAGTCCACCAGCCCTAGGGGGGGAAGAGAGCGAGTTGAAAAGCGATCAACAACGTGGTGCAATGTAGGAAACTGTTAGATCCCCGCTCCGAAGATCGGAAATAGCTTTTTTTTTCGTGAGGTGGTGCTTTCTTTCACCCCCCCCACCCCTCCCTCTCCTGCTTAAAGAAAACCAGGGCCACCAAAGAGTGAAAGCCACTTGGGAACTACTGCTGCTCTTCTTCGGAGTTTATTTCTTGGGATATTTATTGCAGGCTTGGGAACAACCCTAAGCCCATCTCTTTGGGCTTCGGGAAGCCTCAAATCATCGCTAAACTGGAGGTGTCTTGTTTTTCTTTCCTGGTTTAACAGAAACTGCTATTTAATTTATTACTGTCACTGTGTGTGTGTGTGTGTGTGTGTGTGTGTGTGTGTGAGAGAGAGAGAGAGAGAGAGAGAGAGAGAGAGAGAGAGAGCAAGCGAGAGAGAGAGCGAGAGAGAGCGTGTGTAAAGAGAAAAGGGGCAGGAAGTAGATTTTCTGCAGAAAGGGTGGCAGCAGCGTGGACGGTACATAGTCTTCCTTATTTATGTGTCTGTCAGCATTCTCCTTCATCCAAAGAATCAAGGGAAAGTATCCAACCTGTGTTTCCCGGTGAGTGAAGCACAAGGAAGGACTGGAGATATCAAAGCATCATGATTATTTATTGAACTTCAAACTTAAAAAAAAAACCCAAAGAATATCTGAGATTTCACCCACTGTTCAAGGAAGAAGAGAGGCCCCACTGCTCCTGAAATGTAGCAAAATCCTTATTTATAAACGGGCTAAAGACACTGATATGAAAAGGCCCCTCTACTCGAATTTTCTATCCTATGGATATCAGTCTTGAGATTTCGAAATAGGAAGATCTGTACTGGATCTAGCAGCAACTATCATTTCAATGCCTAGTCTTCCCTGGGACTGTTGGCATTTCCTAGAAATTAAACTGGTACTGTATGCCATGGGCTGTATTCAGAGCATCAGCAGCAAATCCAAAATTTTCCGAGAAAGTATTTCGGTGATTGATGTGAAAGCCTCTATTGACCCCATCCCCACCAGCATCGATGAGTCGTCCAGCGTGGTTCTCCGCTACCGGACACCACACTTCCGAGCCTCAGCCCAGGTGGTCGTTCCGCCTATACCTAAGAAGGAGACTTGGATTGTTGGCTGGATTCAAGCGTGCAGCCACATGGAGTTTTACAACCACTATGGGGAGCAGGGCATGTGAGTACTTCTGAACACTTAAGTTCTCAGGGCTTCTGGGTGGGTACCCTAGAAATGAGGGTGGGGGGTTGAGTTGGAAGGAACATTTAGGAGATCAGGCTTTAGAATCTAGCCTACTAGGTGACCTATCTATCCTGTGGCTTAGGTAGCTTGGGGGGGGGTGGAGAAGAGAAATTGGGTTTCATCTCCTTATGTAAGGGCAGAGAGTATTCAATATGTCCTAGAAGGCTGTCATCTCATCAGGGGAGCCTGATGACTTTTAGAGATCCTAAAACTCAAATGAGAATTGCCAGCGCCTCAGGAATGGCTTGACCTGTGAATTCCAGATTTTTATCCTTTTCGGGCTTGGGCTTTACCTCTGCTTTCATTGTCTCATAGCTCCCTTTCCCATCCTTTCCTAGCAAGATGCTGAAAAAGCAAAAGAACATTCTGACCAGTACCACCTGGGCACTGCAAACAAGCTGCCTTGCTGCAGAGGTGCTAGTGCTGGGTCAGAGGTAACACAAGTTGGACAAATGGGCATTAAGGGGTCCCACCTCCAAAAGATGGAAGGAGGAGTCCATTTTCTGTAGCAGAGAAGGAAATGAATGTGACCACTTTGGGGGGATTACTGGATCTGGCACAGCCCTTTTCAAATGTTTATCTACTTGGCCCAATACATCTTCACTTTCTATTGTGTTTAAATCCTCACTGGTGTCTAGGGAAATGCAGTCCATTCAAGAAATTCAAGCCCTAATAAGTGGCCTTGGTTTACTTACCCCTTTGCTTTTTACAAGTGGTATTTAGGAACTCAATTTCTACCGAATTTGTAGCTTTCCTCCCTGGAGGAGGAAGGCCACTTTAACCTGAGAACACACCCTCGGTGCCAGAAAGGCTCAAGTTGATTCAGAGTTTAGAACACCAGTTGGTTCTTAAGGAGCCCCAGAGCTCATTACAGGAGCCCACTGGCTTTCTGGTACCCACTCTGATTTCAGAAATTTTATCCTGGTAGAATTTCTCCTGCTAGGCATAAGGAAAGAGCACAGTCTAGGGGCTCAGGCATAAGCCTTCCTTTCTGAGTATATTGGCAGAACTAGGCAATGTGGATCCTGCAGCCGAGTGAAGCTGTCTTGCTTCTGGTCTGTATTTCCCAAAGAGAAAGTTTTCCCTGACAGGTTCAAGCTTTGAGGGACAAGTCTGGGGGAATATGAATGTAATAGAATCACAGGATCTGAAAGCTAGACGGAACTTCAGAGGCCATGTGATTGGTAGAAACTCACAACTATGTGGGCACCTCTACCCAGTAGCCTAAATTAACCTTCTCCAAGTGTGGCAGCCTTTTGAGAGAGCCAGGCAGTCTCCAGAGGAAAAGAGGTATGGTAACCGTACAGGGGTACTGAGGGGGCTGACCCTGACAGACATACATTGAAGCTAGCCAGTGTTCCAGGGGGCACTTTTGCTTCCCTTGTTACCTCCTTCCTATTTTGGAGCCCCTTTCCTAATGTGCAGAGATGGAAACCTAAAAAGAAAACAGGATTTCCCCCAAAGTTGGAACTTTTCATTAGTTTTAATATACAATACAAAAGCTGTAAATAAAGAAGGGTTAGTTAAGGAAGAGAGACTGGGAAAAACAAATCCTTTGCCATCTTCACCTAATGATTTTGAAGTTAAAAGAGAGCAGGAATTGATTGTGGTAAGACAAAGTAAAGAGATTACCTAAGTAAAGAAGGAATTTGTTGGGACTTAAATACTGTTTTCAAATCAAGGCTGAAACCTCTCAAAAACAATGATTAATTCACTTCAGGTTCTGTGGCCATCCTCTCCCCTCCCCACACCACCCTACCCCCATTCTAGGAAGGAAAGAATGAATTCTATAGAATTTTAGTCTTTGTGGAATTTTCCTATGAAAACTATAAACCCAGAAGGATTTGTTGTTCTTTGTCAGGCCTCCAAGGCAATTATTGATAAATGAAGGTTTTCCAAGGGGTTTAGGACCATTCTCCTCCTTCCTCAGGCCTAGAGGAATTCATTGGGATGCTAGAAGGGACCTCTGAATTCTGAAGGATACTAAAATCTGGTGGGAAAATGTTGGGAAGACTATTTGTAGAGTGGCTTGGTTTTCAGTAAGATGTATGACACTACAAAGTAGTCTGTTATAATGGAAAAGTTCCTAGACCAGTCAGGAGATCAGACTTCTAATTTTGACTGCTGGCCAAGGATACCTTGGGCTAGCTAGTTACTCTATTTCTGGGCCTCAGTTTCCTTGAATCTAAAAATAAAGGATTGGACTAAATGGTTGCTAAGGTTCTTTTTAGATTTCAAATGAGATGATTCTGAATTAAATCAAAGTGTGGCATGAGGTTGGAGTCAGAACTCGGAGTCAAAAGCTATGAATTAAAGTCTTGCCTGAGCTGGGGCAGACACATTAAGTCTCTAAATTCACTTTCCAGGTTTAGGAGTAGTGGGACTGTTATTGTCAGAGAGGATGTAGAGAGTTGAGGGTGGGTGTGTCCCTAACTGTTGTGAAAGCCCTTTGGAAGGCTTGGTTCAAAGGACAGTATTATGAACATGGAAACTGCTGATACTCCCTTAACTTCCTCCCTAGCAGGGCTGGCTCACTCTTCCACACCGAGCCCATTGCGGTGAGTTTTAGGTTTTAATGCTTTCTTCTATCCTCTTCCCCCATCTTCCCCAGATATTTTCCTTCTTTCCCAGTCCACTGTCCTTACACTGACTTTCAAAGCTGGCCCTAGTACAAAACCATCGTGCTTTTCATAGTGCTCACCGTCTGTCATCCAGAACATCTGACTGTCTTTGGGTCTGGGTTTCCCTTTTCCTCTGATTGGGGGTGGGGAGCAGCCATGTGGATAGGAGAACAGAGGAGAACCTGAGACCCTTTGGAAGGCACACAATTCTGTTAAGTGGATAATCAAATCTGGCCTCAGACACTTACTAGCAGTGTGACCATGGGCAAGTCACTTAACCCTGTATGCCTCAGTTTCCTCATCTTTAAAATGAGTTGGAGAAATAAATGGCAAACCACTTAAGTGTCTTTGCCAAGAAAACCCCAAATGGGGCCATGAAGGGTCAGAGAGTACTGAAAAAGTGACTGAACAAATAAATAGCTTACACTTACATATGTGTGTATGTATATGCTAGGATATGTTCAGGTCTGTTCCAGGTGAGTTGACTCCCCTTCCCGTGGGGATATCAAGTGAGATGATGTGTTTAAAATGTTTTGCAAATGTGCATGTATTAGGATAACTTACATATATTTATATATGTGCATATGTATGTATGTATACATTTGTATTTCACAATGCATCTACAGATTGTGCACATTTGTACACACATTCATACACGTGTACATATCTGTACAACATATATGAGTGCAACATACATTTGCATATACATTCATGTATGAACATATTTATATGTATGTATATTTATACACATTTGTGTGTGTAAACATTTCTAGAAATTTATATACACTGTATGTACATATTCGTAGAAATAATAATAATAACAATAACAGCAACAATACTTATATAGTGCTTATTACTATGTGCCAGGCCCTGTGCTAAGCACTTTACAATTATTATCGCATTTGATCCTTGCAACAACCCTGGGACTATTATTATCCCCATTTTACAGATGAGGAAACTTGAGGCAACCAGAGGTTAAGTGACTGTGCCCTAGTCACACAGCTAGTAAGTGTCTGAGGCTGGATTGGTGCATGTGTGTTTATTTATATATATATATATATATATACATACATACACATAATCATGCAGATGTTTGTATGTAAATATGCAGGTATGCATGTAGACACTATTAATCTATGTGTACATAATGCAGCTCTATACCACTGCACACACATTTACAAAGCATCTTACATATGTTATTTCATTTGATATCTCCACGTAAAGAGGAGGCAGCTCATTTGGAATAGATCTGGATACTTCTAGGATCCTAAGATTTAGAGCTGGCAAAGACCTTAGAAACTGTCCAAGTCCTTGATTTTACAGATAAGCAAACTGAAACCCACAGAGGTTCCGTGACGTATGGCAGGACCCTCACTAGGTAGTGAGTAGCAGAGCAAAAATCTTCTTGGTTCCAGGTCCCATGTTCTCCAGCTAGTCGGATTGTGAAACTGACTGGAAATCTAGTCGAGATGAACCAGTTTATAAAAGTTTTATAAAGATGCAAATAAACAGTGCATCTTGGGAAAATTAAACTGCATTCAGTGAACTGAAATGATAGATTTTTTAATACTCTGTTGGGATATTTGGCCTTTGTAAGTGTACCTTGTTAAAAATAACAATTCCATTGACCACCGCCATTCACAGTCCTTAAATAAGTCTACCCCTGTAGGAAATTAATCTCCAACTCAATATTTGTTGTTGTTCAGTCTATCTGACTCTCCATGACCCCATTTTGGCTTTTTTTTTTGACAAAGACACTGGGGTGGTTTGCTATTTCCTTCCCTAACTCATTTTACAGATAAGGAAAACTGAGGCAAACAGGATTAAGTGATACACTTAAGGGTCACACAACTAATAAGTGTCTGAGGCTGGATTTGAATTCAAGAAGGCTTTAGGCCTAGAGCTTTATCCACTGCACCACCTAGCTGTCCTGACTCAATATAAACAAACATTTAACAGAAAGAAGATATATACTTGGAATCAGTAGAAGCCTGGGTTCTGGCTGATTCCCAAGCTCTGTCACTTTGCTGCTTGTGACCTTGGGCCAATGTCCCCAGAGAGAGAGAGTTGGACTAATGGTCGCTTAGGTCCCCTCTCTGGTCTTCTCTATTGTCATCTAGTTCTGACGTTCTGTGTCCTGAAACCCCTTCCAGTTCTGACATGGGATGTTCTAAGGTCCCTTCCAGATTTGATATGAGACATTCTAAAGTTTCTTCCACATCTGACAGTCCATGTTCTAGAACTCTACAATAAGCATAATGATGATAACCGATAACAAATTAAATTTGGGGGTAAGGAGATCTGTGAAATGGAGAGTACATCTCTTGATGCCAGATTAAATGGATGCAATAGAATTTTGGGTCCAACCCACATTACTTTAAAAGCTTGGAGCCCCCATCAACTGTTCATTTTTGAGACACCTGCCTCCACAACCCCAGCCTCCGCACTTCTTCACCCGCCACCTGTCATCTCCACAGAGAAGCCTTTTAAATGATAAGTCACAAGTTCTTCCCTGTGTGGGAGACGTTGGCTGCTGCTAGCCCGTTTCCCTAAGCCTTGGCTTGAGGTCACAGGCCTAGCAGGGAGGATTAGGGGAAGGAGGATGTTTTGGGCGGAGGTTCTTTAAATTGTCAGTCAAAGCAAAGAAGTATACCCTTGAGGAAATCTCTTACTCACTCTCATCCCCAGTTTCTTCATCTGTAAATTCTCTTTAAGGTTCCTTCTAGCTCTGACATTCCATGCTGTCAAAAAGGTGTGTAGTGCTTGTTTGTATGTGTGTATAAAGTGACAGGGGAACTTCTGGCCAAAGGGAGGGCCAGGGAGGAGGCCTGAGGTAGATACGCTGGGACGTGTCCTCTCCCACTGCTATGATGATAGATGAGGATTGGTGATCTCCAGCTGTTCACCAGGAATCGCCAAGGGGAGGGAAGTTCCACATTGACTGTGAGGTCTCTTCCTGAAATGTGTGTCCGTGCAGAGAACAATTCAGGCTGAGATTTCCTCTCTAACAGAGGAAGGCAGGCCCCACATATGCAAGGCCCCAGCTGTGGCAGAATGCGTATAGGAGGGAGCCCCAGTTTCAAACCTCCTGGGTTTGAGGAAGTGCTGAGAAAATGTTGGAGACAGTAGGGCCCCATGAGAAATCCCAATAGGCCTGACCCCAGCCAGAATGTCAACAACCCGTATCTTCTACTCCCAGCTGCAGAAGGTGGGGAAGATAACTGGTTTTCACCTAGGAAAGGATATCAGCCCTGGGCCATATGTTTCAGACCCCGAAGGTCTAAGAATATGGGTTGAGACAAGGTTTGATAGGGAGAAAGAACTGAACAAAACTGAAGAAAAGGCTGTGCACAGAATAACTCAGGCTCATACTTCCTCTTCGAGACATTTCTTTTTCCCAAAGAAATGCTTTTTCAGGTGAAACCAGGGAAAGTAGAATGAAAAGGTACTTATAGACAGGGTCAGAATATCTAGGAAGGCACTTGGGCTTTAGGATTTAGGTTTTGGGGTAACTCATATTTTTTGCGTCTTTAGGGTTAATTGGGGAGTGAACACAGTACTTTAGAACTGCATCGGACTTTAAGACTATCTAGTTTGGTCTCCTCATTTTACTGCTGTGGAAAATGAGGTACAGAGAAGTGAGGTGACTGGCCCATGATCACCCAGCTAGGTAGTGGCAGGCTTGGGATTAGAAGGAGCCTGGTCCAGGAAACACTGCTCTCATGGCAGGCTGCCTGTCCTGATTTAGGGAAGTTGTGCAGCCCTGTCTAGAAGGGAATTTGAACTCTTGATCGAAGAAACGTTTAAATTTGTCCTTGGGCTTCTTCTTTAAGGTACAGAATAGAACCTCCAGTTGGGAGACCCTACTAATTGTCAAGTGGAGTCAAGGCTCAGACCCTGTCTAGGGTTTACGTACCAGCTTTGATCCCAGAAGATAGGATGGAGAAAAAGGCAAGAGCTTAGATAACTCACACTTGGTGCTTCTCTTTGTAAAGTCTGTCCAAGGACCACAGGATCATGGGTTTTAGAACTGGAAGGCAACTTTGGGGTCATCTCATCCAAGCCCCTTATTTTATAGTTGAGGAAACTAAGAATTTTAAGTGATTTACTCAAGGTCAGTGCCAAGATTTGAACTGCAGTCCTACAAGTCCAAATCCAGGACCCTTCCCACTGTGGGTAGACTCAATTCTATCAATCAGGATGGGCCTTAGCCCTTTCCTTGGGTTGTAGGGATTATAGCATCGAGCTGGAAGGATACTGCAGAAATCGCAAATCAACTCTGGATTTTTTTTTTTTGCAAGACAATTGGGGTTAAGTGACTTGCCCAAGGTGAGTATCATGTGTCTGAGGCCAGATTTGAACTCAGGTCAAACTGACTCTAGGACCAGTGCTCTATCCACTGCGCCATCTAGCTGCCCCCCAAATCAACTCCAAAAGGAACGCTCCAAAATTTCCTTCTCAATGCAAGGGTACACTAAGGGGATATGGGAGATAGCTTTGAGGAAAAGCATGGTGTTCTTTTGGCTATAAAATTAGGGGGTTACGTAGCTTACCTTGGAGGTCCCTTTCAGTGTCAAAGATTCCCCAGTTCTCTTAATTCCTACAGTGTAGAAACACAAACAACCCTTAAAGGGGCCAGTTCCCTAATATTGGTCAACTGAAGAGACCCTCAGCTTCTCTAGTAAATACCTGTCACCTAATCCTAGCTAGTATTTAGGGAATGAGGTGGAGGAGGGGGTGGTAAATCAGCATGGTGTTTGTACCACTGTCCAGACCACATTATTGAGGCAGTGTGGTATAGTGAATAGAGGGCTGGACTTTGAGAGTCAAGAAAACCTGGGTTCAAATTCTGTCTCAGACATGTATAAGCTGTTATGACCCTGGGTAAGTCACCTAACCTCTCTCAACCTCAGTTTCCTTCTTTGTAAAATCAGGAGGCTGGACTCGATGACCTGTAGGTTCCCTTCCAGATTTAGATCTATGATCCAGCGATCTCTAGACTCATAGGAAAATAGGCTTTTGGTTACCTCATTATCTGTAACCCTCCTGAGTCATATGGCTTAGAGGCTTTTCCAGGGGTGCAGCTAAAAACATCCCAGGGGTGGGTTGTTTGGGTTGGAGCTGCTGCTATTAGGTAGGAAATGAGCATTAGAGAAGTTCTGGGCCCTACCATCAGAAGTGGAAACTCAACTGGCAACCCCCAATTGGGGCAGACATGTCCAAAAGTCCTTCTAAAGTGCCTTTTCCTCAAGGTGCAATACGAGGTGCCTGTGATTCTCATTCCTCTTTATGGAGCTTTCCTGGTTCAACCAAGGGGGTCAGATACGTTCAACCATATGAAGGAGGGTTGAATTCAGTGCCCTCTAAGGTTACCTCTTCCAACTGTAAAAGCTTATGCTGATGGGAGGAGAAAGGTCTCAAATGGAATTTGAGGGCTTAGGGTCCCTGTGACCTATGGTTGCAATAGTAATAGTTCATATTATGATGGGAAAGAACTTGAGCACTTGTGTTTCTTTGTGGACATCTTAAATCTGAGATGGGGGTTTCTTCCACCAACATTTGCTCCAGTCTTCAAGGCTCCAAGGATTGGGGGGGGGCGCGTGTAGTAAATGGGGTAGGAGAAGTTGGGGAGATATCTTTTTTAGGCAGCTTCTGTTTGAGAAGTTCACCTAGGCTCTGCCCCCCAGGTAGAGGATAAAAGAGTCGTAAGATAAGGGAAATTAATGTTCTTTTCTGGCTTGTCTGGGTTGTAGTGGAAAGACTAAAAAAGGGTTGGCTTTTCAGGATGGAAAGATGAAGGACATGGGAGAAAGAGAGAGGATCAAAGTCTATCCCATCAGGAAGGACTTAAAGACATGAATATGGGGTTCACCAAATTCCAGAATCACAGAGCAAGGTGGGGGTGCCCCTTGAAGCTTCAAAGAGGTAGTTTAAGGACAGGCAAAAGCCATCCTACTACTATAGGCAGGAGGCAGGAATCTTGAGAACCTATTACCTCAAAAGGTGACAGAGGCTGCAAATATGAAAAGATTAAAAAGGCCTTTAAATAAATGCAGGAAAAGGCCCTTAGAGATCATGTGTCCCCAGTCCCCCATTTTGCAGTGGAGAAAAATGAAAGAGATTAAATGACTTGTCCAAAGTTATTGTAGGTAGTAGGCAGCAGGACTGGAATTCAAACTCAGGTGTTCTGGTGCCAAATCTAAGGCTGCCCTCACTGCCCATGCTACCTCTGACCTCTAACTTCTAACCTCAGACACTGACGTTACAGGAGGGCATCATACCCTCCTTTGAACAGTCCTTCAGAGCTCCCAACAGAGAGAATTCTCGGTTGGATGGGCCATGGGGCTGATGCAGGGTGACATTTGTGATGTTCTTAAAATATGACTCACTCTGGGAGAGTGGGCAAGGAGGGCTATTTCCCAAGTCATTTTGACAGTTGAATCCTAAATAATATTCTACAAGAGACACACTGCTTGCCTGGCAGCTGCAGCTGCTCTTTCCTGGGCTTTTACTGGGTGCTGGAATACTGCAACTGAATTTATCATATCATATACGACACCAGGTCGATGTGAAGAAAAACCCCAAAGACCCATGTTGGTAAAAGTAAATTTAAGGGGTCTGCTAAAGCTCTATCTCATTTTCCCAGCCCAACACCTTAGAAACAAGCTCCTCCTCCTCAGCTTTTTTGAAATCACTCTGAGGTCAAAACCAGAAAAAAACAAGTTATTTTTAAACTTTTCCTTCTGTTTATTCTCTTGTTACTTTAAAACAAGGACTCTTCATATTTTTGAGTCTTGGACCTTTTTTGTCTGATGAAACCTATGGGATCCTTCTCTCAGATTATTATTTTTAAATGCATACAATAAAATGTATAAGATTACACAAGAAACCAATTGCATTGAAAAGTAGTTATTAAAATGTTTACAAAAGAAGTTCAAGAGACCGCAGGTTAGAATCCCTTCATTTAAAATAAAGGTAAACGGCTCAGGAGGGGTCAGTGACGTACAGGGTTGGTTGGTTGTTTTTGTTTTTCAAACAACCAACTGAAAAAGTATTTTTGCAGGCTGTTATAATGCAAAATTTCTTACTTGAGATATGTAGCATAGACCCAGGAGGAAACCTTTGGATTCAGGGCACGCGCCCACATTGAGGGAGGGGATTTGGATGACCTGGCAAACTGCTATGATTTCACCTGCTCCTGCTGCTGCTGCTGCTGCTGGGGACTCATTGTCAGGTGGTAGCTGTGGTGTGCTTAGACAACAGTCCCCAGATGTTAGGGTGGGGGTTTTGCAAAAATGAGGTCAGGTTGGCCAGCTGCTTTCATATCTGACATGCACAGGGGAGATACAGTGGCTTAAAATCTAGACCAGCAAGGTCACTAATGAGATAGGCTTCTAGGAAGGCCTTTGAGTTATCAGGGAGCATTTGAATAAAAACAAGCGGTCTGGCAAAATGACTGCCCTGATTTTTCATGTTACCCTGGTTCCTGTTTACTAACACCGAATTATGCCGGAATGACAAAAACTGAAAGAGGGAACATGTCTGAAGCTATGCTGATTCATACAAGAGGTTTGCAGGGAATTCTCCAGGTTGTTCCTTGTCCTGAAGTTGAGCATTAGAGGCCTGAATTTATGTCAGGGGGAGGTGTGATGTGGTGGAAAGTGAATCAGATGACCTGGGTCCTGGTTCTGAATCTGCTACCATCCAGCTGTCTGATCTGGGCAAATTACTTCTCCTATCGGAGGCCTTTGTTTCCTCTTCTGTAAAAACAGATGCTCTTGAGAATTCCCCTCCAGGGGTGTGCTGTAATTAGCTCTAACAGGCCCAAGAACTAATTGTTAAATTTTTAGTGGAAGCATTTACACCTCAGCAAATACTACAAATCAGGGCTTGATTTATTGTTTCGCTGATTATCTGGTCTTAAGAAAGTGATGGAGAAAAATATTAATGATGTAAGATTAAATTTAATGTTTGTCGTGAAGACGTTTCCCCCCCTGGAAAGCTGATTGTTAAACATTTACTGGCACATCCCTGATTCTGGCTCTTAATTGCTTCTAGGATGGTGTCTTTGTAATCAGAGGCCCAAAAGCAGCTCTGACCCCGTTATAAAAGGTGCTCTACCCTAGAATTTTTGTATGTGGGATATGAGCGATCACGCTAATGGGAGCCCAGGAGAGACTGGACCTGCCCTAATCAGCATTCTCGGCTCCTCCAGGGAAACTGACCCCTCTTGGCCCTATTCTGAAGGGCTCCCCAGCTGCTTGGTGCAGATCACAAGCTAAACTCGTGCTGAGACAAGAGAAACTTCTCTTTTTAGAGAAGGAACTGGGTAGCTAGAAGCAGTAGTGTGGGTTTGTCATACTATGAACCATTAAGTCAAAGCAATCTCAGCTCTGGCACGGGGAGGCTGTTGTGAAAGCTGGACAGAATGCTGTGGGATTCATCATGGTTCTAACCAGGGCTTTAGGTAGGAGGGAAAACAAGAGGATCTCATTCCTATGAATGAAAATACAAATGAAAATCATTTATCAAGCACCTACTATGTGCCAAACATGGGGGGGGAGACAACAACAAATACAAAAGTGAGACAGGTCCTGCCCTCAAGTAGCTTACATTCTAATAGGGAGACACAACATGCAGAAGGGCATTGTGGCTACCAAGGAGTGTTTGGGTATGGGAAGACACAAGAATGAGTGGAGCTACAGAGGAGTTGACTGACAAGCCCTTTTCAGAAACAGTGGTAGTAGTATTGATTTGATATAGTTCCCTCTTTTGAAGGACATTACCTTAATTCCAAGGCAGCTAGGTGGCACAGTGGATAGAGTACTGGGCCTGAAGTCAGGAAGACTCATCTTCCTGAGTTCAAATCCAGCCCCAGATGCTTACTAGCTGTGTGACCCTGGGCAAGTCACTTAAAACTGTTTGCCTCAGTTTCCTCATCTGTAAACGAGCTGGAGGAGGAAATGGCAAATGACTGCACTATCTTTGCCAAGAAAATCCCAAATGGGGTCATGAAGATTCAGGTGTGAGGGAAACAACTGAACAACAAACTTAATTCCAATGCTTTCTGAGTAGGGGAAAGCCAGTTTGGGGCATTTAGATCGTAAGCCCTGACTAGCACTATGGCTAATCCCATCGAGTTCTGTCTTTTGCCTCCTCAGCATTTAGCACAGTACCTGGCACACAGTAGGCATTTACTAAATTGTATTGGCTATTGACTTGGTGATGCTTTGTGGCCGCACCTTCCTCATTCACCTATGATCTAAGAATATAGATTTAGAGCTGGAAAGGAGATCTTGCAAAATTGGATCCAGCTGCATCATTTTAAAGATGAACAAACTCTGGGGTCATCTACTCACCCAAGATCATGCACAGCCCAGAGCAAAGTGAGGCAGGAGCAGGAGCCCAGCTCCTCTGCTTCCAAATCCCACCCTATGCCAGGATACCTTTCTTGGTGAGTGGGGGACAAAATGCAGAGAGAGAAGGAGAAGCATTCCTGTTCCATTTGCCCTCTACTTCAGGTCCAGCCCGTATAGCACATTCCCACGGTGCTCGCCCTCTCTCTGCAACATTATTTTCTAATCGTGGGGAGATTCTTTTCCCCCCAGTCTTTGATATGGATCCATGTTAACCAACCCCAGCTTCTGGCTAGGGGTGGGGGTGGGAGGTGATTAAGTGATGGAACCAAGACAGTGGCTGAAACAGCAACAGACCCCAGCAGCTTCTTGGATCTGACATTATGACAATGACACACTATTAGCCTGATCTTGGGGCTGGTCCTGAGGAGGAGGAGGGGAGCAGCAGAGAGGTAGGGGTTGAACGACTAAATCTCAATGGGGAGAACAGAAATTCTCATGGATAGGAGCACAGTGGGGTGAAATCCTAAAAACGGTGAATTGTTTGAGATGTAATTAAATGAAAATCCTCATTTCTAGGTCTAGCTGGGAGCTCCCAGACCTTCAGACAGGGAAGATCCAGGCCATCAGTGACTCAGATGGGGTGAACTACCCTTGGTACGGTAACACCACAGAGACCTGCACCATTGTGGGCCCCACCAAAAGAGACTCCAAGTTTATCATCAGCATGAATGACAATTTCTATCCCAGTGTCACGTGGGCAGTGCCGGTCAGTGAGAGTAACGTGGCCAAACTGACCAGCATCTACCGAGATCAGAGTTTTACCACCTGGCTGGTGGCCACCAACACGGCAACCAACGACATGGTCATTCTCCAGACACTCCACTGGAGGATGCAACTGAACATCGAGGTGAATCCCAACAGGCCCTTGGGACAACGTGCCAAGCTCCGGGAGCCAACTGCCCAAGAGCAGCCCCAGATCCTGAGTAAGAATGAGCCAATACCACCCAGTGCCCTCGTCAAACCGAATGCCAATGATGCTCAAGTCCTCATGTGGAGGCCGAAGGATGGGCAGCCTCTTGTGGTGATACCTCCCAAGCACCGGTAATGAGCAAGGGTCCTGGCACCAAATGGGAGGAGAACACACTCTGATCTGCTAGTTTAAGACAAACAAATAATAATAATAATGATCAAAACAAAGTCAAAATGCACTTTTTAGTCATTCAACAAAAATGCAACCATTCTACCTTCTCCAGTGGGACGGATTTCACTGTGCTAAAGTTCCAGGGAAGACCTCACCTGGGGTTTCCTCATCACCTGCTTTCTAAGGAGCAGGAGAAGGGCGGTGGGGAGAGGAGGAACAAAGCAAAAACACATAATCCCTTTTCATTTTCACTTTCAGCCTTTGGTTTTCCCCTCTCTTTTCCCTTCTCTGCTTTGATCTGAGTTTCAGTTACTCGCTCGAAACAGACTTGATGAAACAAAAAACTTTTGAGTTTTTCTTTTTCTTTTTTCCCTCTTTTCTCTTCGAGATTCAGGGGGAGGGAATGGGAGGGGATTCACCTCATCAGTGAAACCCAAGATCTTGGAGCAATCCAACTGACCCTCATTTTACTAGTGACCTATTTTTTTTTCAATTGATAAAGGTTTGCAACCTCCTCCCCCTACCCCAATCATGCGGCCTTATATAGATTTTGCTTTGCCAAAATTTTGCCTTAAGCTGTGCTGGGGGTGGGGGGTGGGGGTGGGGAGGGATGGACAGAAGAGCAGAATCTCTTTCCTGCTGTAGTTTAACAAGTGAATTAAGGGTGAAAGAAAAGGGAAGGTGACTCAAATCCATCTCTTCTTGGGATCCAAAGAGGAGGCAAAGAAAAAAGCCCAGACCTAACGCCAAACTGCTTTTTATCCCCTTTCCCCATCTTGGCTTTTAAGAGGTCCTTCTCATCCTCTCCTTCCCTCCTTCCCCCTGCCCCGAGCAAACTTCCCTCCCATCTTGGTCCCATGCAGAGGCTCTGGCCCCGCTGAATGGCGAGTGCCTACTCTGCTGTGGCCTCTCTCTGCTTTCTGTTCTCTTCTCTACAGCATCAGCTCAGGGGAAGGTTTAAATGGTGGGGAGGAAGAAGTCAAGAGACCATGTGTGGAGGAAGCCATCATTCCAGACCACCAACTTGGTCTTCAGCTAGTTGGAAGGTGCCCACACCCTCTGAGCATCCACCATGCCCATGCAATCAGCTAATATCATGTAGACCCTAAGGGGGGAGGTGGGCTTTCTCTGCTGGTCTGTACCACTTCTAAGTTTCTAGAACACCAGCTACCACCACCAATAATACACAATCATTTTTATTTGTGAAAGGCAAAAAAAAAAAAAGGATAGATTTCCCTCCATGCAGTTGAAAACTGTAGAGAATGGGAAACAAGAGCATACTTCTCCCCCTCCCACAGTGTTTTCTGGAAATGGATTGTATGGGGCTATAGGCCTGTTCTGGGGATAAAATCCTCTTTTGGGTTCTCATAAAAAGCTCTCTAGGTAGGGACTTCTATAATCATCAAATGCTATTAATCCAGACTCAGTCTGTAGAGGAGCGGGGAGGAAGAGGATGGCTACAAAATTTACTCTGGATCTTATCCTTGTTGGGAAGTTTAGGGGAAACATTAGCTCAGAGACCCTGTATTTCCTCAGTTCTAGGAAATGAACCAAAGATGGGAAGCCCAACTAGACCTACCAATGATTTCAGAGTCACATGGAGGCTTGGCTTTGGCAGCTTATTCTGAGTATCTCGTGCCCAATGGGCACTCAGGGAACCTGTCCCACACTTTCCTCTCTCCTATCTGGGACTCCCTGCAGTCCCAATCATAATTTAGGAGAATGACAATCTTGACTCTTCTTGAGTAAATGCCAGTGCTTTGTAGCAAACATCATGCTTAGTTGGATAGATGCTCATGGAAACCACAGGGGAAGAGATGGTTTCCTATAGTTTTAAACTTATCCCATTTTGTTGCAGCATTTTATCGAGGCTGTAGCCCTTCCTGAGCACTCCCAAAATTTGTAGTTGTCACCCCAGAGCTCCCTCAGCTCCACAAATAATCATAAACCAGGGTGCTTAATCGAGAATAGAATACCACTAGACATATCTGCTTCAGACATGGCATCCGTAATAGTCTCAATTAAGATTTAAGAAGGTTTGATGAGTAATAATCCAAATTCCATGCTATAGTATTCCATTACTTGTGCAATATTACATTTATTCAGGGATATTTAACACAAGATGGAGTCTCCCCCTCCAGCTCATATATTTGGGAAAAAAAGACTTACAGCTATATATTAAAACAAATTGGGCTAGAAATAGTTTACTAGCTTTTTCTGGCTAGTACCAAGCTTAGGTATTCTCTTTGCTATGTCTTGATAGCCTCCACTCCTCAGAAAACTTCTGTTCTTCTGCATGCTCAGAAGAGCCTAAAAAGGATAATAATAATAATAATGATAGCTGACAGGTGTTTTGCAGTTTGCAAAGTACTACCCATACAGCACAGTATAATGGAAAGGACGCTGACTTCAGGAGTCAGGAGGATGCGGGTTCAAATCCTACCCGTGATGTTTACTACCTGTGTGACCTTGGGCAAGTCACAAGCTCCAAGAATCTCAGTTTCTTCATTTGTAGAAGGAGGGTACTGGACTAAGATGGCCTCTGAGGCCCCTTCCACCTCTACATCTAGGATCTCATTTGACCCTCAGAAGAACCCTTGGAAGTTGGTGGTCCAAGATGTCATTAGCTCTGTTTTATAAATAAGGAAACGCACAGAGTGGCTAAGTGACTTACCTAAGGTACACGGCTAGTAAATAGTAAAGCTGAGACTGAATCCTGGCCTTCTGACTCACAATCCAGGGGGCTTCTCCCCCACTCTATCCCAGTTGCTTTTCAAGCTGTGGTTTTACGTGATAATGCACTAAGGAGAGATCACAGAAAATGACAAGAGCTATAGCCATGATCGTATGGTTGAATAATAATGCCTTGGCTGTAAAGTTAAAGCTGCTACTGGTGACATTTAGCCTCACAGTGAGAAATCACCCCCAGTGGATCCAGGTCATTTTGCTGTAAGTGGGTCAGTGGCCTCTAGGCAAAAGGCAACTCAGGCTCAGATCCTGCCCCAAGCACCTACCTGCATGACTTTGGGCGAGCTACTTATATTCTCTGGATGTCAGTTTCCTCATCAGTCACAATGCTTGGCACAGTGCCTGGTACGCAGTCGGTGCTTAATCCCCGCTTATTGACTGACATAAGAGTATTGAATTGGTTCTCAAAGTGTGATCTGGGAGTCCCCAAGACACTTTCAGGGGGTCTACAAGGTCAAAACTACTTTTGTAATAATACTAAGATGTTTTAATTTCTAGTGTGGCAAATATCCATAGATATAATATACTGAAACAAAAGCTCTTTGGAGGTGTTGTCAATAATTTTTAAGAGTATAAACTGGGTCATGAGACTGAAAAGTTTGAGAATTGCCAGATTAGATGATCTCTAAGCACTCTTCCAGCTCTAAATCTTCTGACCTGTGACCTTAGAAGTCACTTCACTCTGCCTACCTCTCTTACAAAATGAGGGGATTGGACTGAATGATCTCTATAAGGTCCTTCCAACTCTCAAGGAAAAGTGCTGTGCATCAAATGCGGGGAACCCTTCTAAGGCTGTTCTTTGGGGTCAGGGATAATGATGGACTGACACAGGTCATGAAGAAGTGTCAGGGTCAGGATTAGGATACAGGATTGGGCTCCCATAACAGTCTGAGCTGCTTGAGAACTCTGAGAGTGAAGCTCGTGAGCCTCCTGGGCCTTACTGGTTTGCAGGAATTCTGGGCCAAGATAGGGAAGGAGCAGAATGGGCAGAAAGGTGTGTGGAAGGCCTGGAACAGGGGGGACCCTGGGGGTAAAGTCTTGAGGTTTCCCAGACCGAGGGGCCATTCCTCCCAACCAGTGCTTTTATAGTGACTGTCCATGTTTCTTAAAGAAACCAGTTCACCCTTAGGAAGGAATGAGCACTGTCCTGTTTCAGCAGTAGGAACTCCTTACATTGGTTCTCCGGATCCCACTCTTGAGCAAATGATAAAGTTTTTCAAGAAACACCCAGACCCTGGCTGGATAGCAGCTTTATCAGAGCCACTGCCACGTTCCCCCCTGCCCCCCAAATCTCTCCCCATCCCAGCTCACAAACTGGTGACCAGCATTCTCTACCTACTCAATTCTTATCTTTGATGTGGACTTCTTGCCCCTCCCTGTGATAGATAATAGGGTAATAAGATAATAGGATTGGGGAGGTCCCGAAGTGACCTAGATTACTATGGGTTTTATAATAAAGTATGCTTTTAAATTTAACTCAAGGTAGTGAATGAAGGCTGAGGAATCACAGAAAGTAAGAGGTGGAAGGGACCTTAGAACACAGAAGGTTGGAGGTGGAAGGGAGCATAGAACATAGAATGTTAGAGCTGGAAGAAACTTTAGAACAGGGGTTCTTAACCTTTTTTGTGACATGGACTTCTCAGGAGAATGTTTTTAAATTCATAGGATTGGGGCAGCTAGGTGGTACAGTGGATAGAGTACTAGCCCTAGACTCAGGAGGACCTGAATTCAAATCTGGCCTCAGATACTAGCTGTGTGACCCTGGACTAGTCACTCAATTCCAATTGCCTCCAATAAATAAATAAAATAAATAAATTCATAGAATTACAAAAGAAACCAATTACACTGAAATAGTTATCAAAATATATTTTTTAAAAAGCTCAGACCTCATGTTATAAATCCCTTTAAGAGCTGAAAGAGACTAGAATATAGAATATCAGAGTTGGAAGAGACCTTAACAATCACCTCATCAAACTACCTCATTTTACAGATGAGAAAACTGAGGCCTATGGAAGCAAAGTCACAAAGCTAGTTAAGTAGCAAAGACAGAATTCGATTCCAGGTATCTAGACTTCCTTATTCAGTGCCCAAAGGGAACACCAGGGCTGACTTTTTGCTCTGCACTCTCTTCCCCATCTCAGGAGCACGGATTGGTCTCTTTCTGAGACTGCCTACTCCTCCTCATACCCTCCCTGCTTGGACATTTTCCAGCAATAAAGAACCATCCTTGGTCATACAGAGATACTGTGAAAAAAAAATGTACCGAGACGTGTAAGAGTCTTGAAGAAAATGTAAAACTGAAAAAAAAACTTTTATTAAAAAAAAACTAATGAAGCAAAATAAAGTGGAATTTTAAAGAAGTCCTGGTGAGGGTCTGGATGTTTCTGCAAGACTGTAGCATTTGGATTGGGGCTTCGGTTCAATACAAACGGGCTTCCTTCTCACCCTGGCAGTGGGCTTTGGGGACTGGGGGTGAGAAACCACGGGTTGGTTTTCAGAGCTGACACCATACAAGGAGAGAAAATGAGACATGTTGCTTTATAAATAGATCAGATCCCACCCCCACCCCCCTTCCACTCACAATCCCCCTTCCCACAAGTGCCTGACCTGGGAAATCTCCATGTTTAGGGAGATGCTAGACTTGGACTGTGGTATACTATTATAACACAAATCATTATGCCCTGGATTGAGCTATACTACCGGTCACATATACGTTTAAACCTGATTCTGCAGTGAATACTCAACACCAGGTAGCTTATGACACAGGTGTTCATCTTTTCCTTTTTACCAGCTTTATGAAAACAATTCCACCACATTGGTGTATGGTAATAAATCCCTTCAGTTCCCATCTGTGAATGGAGAGTTGAGGGAGGATAGAAAACATAAGGAGAATTTAGTTTGATGTTCTCTTGTTTTCTTAAGCTACCCCCAAGTTGTGTCCATTTCGCCTTAATACATTGTAAGGAGAGGAAATGGTTTCCCTCCCCCACAGGAAGGAAATTTTTTTTTTTCAGTAAGTCTTCCCCTAACCCACAATACACTCATCTCATTCTCTTTGAAGATGGGCGGCTCCAGTTTCCTTCAGATGACAATACTCATCCTGTTGAGTGGGCTGAGGTTTCTGGGTTCCATTTTGGAAAACTAAGGACTCACATCCACTCAGGGTATAAATGATTTAACTACTTCCCAGGTTTGTCGTCTTTGCAACAAACAAAATGAACTCAGTTTAGATGTTTTCTTTCTTCTGTGCCAGAAGAAGGTTTTAGTGTGGGAAATTGCATCACAGAGGGCTCATTTCAGGGTAGTTATTTGGACTCTCAATATACAATCAACTCCTAAGTGGCATAAATGGGCAGCCACAGGTAGCTATGGCTTCAGGAACTCAGAAAATGGTGCAGGCCTAACCCAGTGGAAGTCAGTCAATCAACAAACATTTATCATATGCTTACTCTGTGCCAGGCATCATGCCAGGTGCTA